TGGAAGGTAGTACGATCTTTTGCAGGATGAACATTTCCTGTGCTCAGTGATTTTGCAAATTCTAAAAATCGAAGAGAAAAATGGCGAGATTTACCACAGGCACCATGATTTTTGATTTGGAACTTCATAATTTTTTCAGTTTTCGCATTTTAGTCGCTTAACAACAAGAAATTTCAGGGTTACCAGAATTTGTTGAACTTGAAGAAGGCAGCGATAGTGATGCGCCAGCTGAGGCATGCTCCAAAAAAGAGAATGAGATACAAGGGAGAAACAGTATTTCTTCCGATACAATGGTATATTACTGTGGTATTCCTAGCTAATTTACCCGTGGCATGTCATTGGTAGATATTGAAAGTAGGGTTAAAATTTAGCAGGACGGACGAAAAGGATTTATGCCCTGACCGCCGAGCTGAGTATAAAAAGCTTGCTAAAATTGCAGTTCATTGTAGTGTAGATGAAGAAAAATGGAGCAGTGGATGGAGGGGGATGGGCTGAGGGAGAGGAAAAGGGGGAGGGGGAGGAGAAGGATGGTGAAACAGGGGAAAAAAGAACAAAAAGCCTAACTTTTGGAATTAAATAATCTCGGGAATAACATGTTTCAACATCTTACTTGTTCAGTACTTGTTGCATCCATAGTCCGAGACAGTCTTTGAATTTTTGGTATTTAAGAACCATTGTGCTTTCGGAATAAGGGGAAATGTATCAGAATTTGCTATTAAATGAACATTGGTAATTTTGGATCACCACTTGACGGGGACTAAATTTGTCTGTACAATTGACCGAAACGTTTTTTTTTAAATTTGAAAATCCAGAGGTAATATGCTAAATTTGTTGAGGGTACCCATCACTGGCTTACATAAATCTCTTTCGCCAGATATAGCTCATAAACAAATTTTTCAGCAGACGAAAGTGAAGAAAAAGACGAAAAGAAGGAAACGTAAATTAGCAAAGCAAGCAGACGGAGTTTACCAGTTGGAAACCGAGTAAGTTCATACTGAGTAAATTCATCTACCCCGATGATGTAGGAATTAAAAGCTTAGTTAGTAAGCTATTCTCATGAACGCTGCCTCCTCATAATTTACATAGAATTACTACCTGTTTCATATGTTAGTTTCCTCCTCTTCCATCTGCTCTATTACTTTTATTACTTTCATGCTCTTACACTTTCTCTCCTTCTCTTTCTCTTTCACTTATCTTTCTTGCAAATTAGTTACATGTCCTTTCAATACATGACGGGTAGTAGGCTGTACTGACGACTCCAACTCCTACCCGCATGCATTGTTCGGTCTGTGTTTACAGCTAAGGGATGAAACACACACAGACTGCATCGTGAAATGTCTTCTTATACATGACACCTAATTCCAATCTTCTTACTCCACTAGTCTAAACTATCCACTTTTCGACGGAGGATAGGTAATTCAGGATGTATGCACTGTATTTCCGTACATGGAAACTATAATCTTTATTTTTTTCCTGGTTTTTTATCAACAATTTTATCGAATTTCATCTCAATTTTATCACAATAATCTTAAATTTATCCTGGTTGACGAGGTAAAAACCACTCACACTCATAAATTATTTCCAGAAGGTCAGCATTCAAAATTGTTCCGTTATCGTCACCAACGCCGACGGCAACAGTGAATTTTCGTG